TGCTCTAAGAGTATTTCACCATGTGTTTTATCTAAATCTGTGAAAGGTTAGGAGCAGTGAAGAGGAGTCCTAAGTCACTGAGACCAAACCACAAACTATCCTAAAATAGCTGTCGCCGGCAATCTGCCTCGGAACGTGAACATTTTAGAAACATTTGATGATAATAAGCTTTTAAAAAGGTATGGCCTTTAGTTTTAGAGGTTATCCCGACTCTAAATTTTCCTTTGATTATATCTTTTTTTTCATTAAGCAGTTGAGCAAGAAGTAACAGCTGTTCTTGCGTCCAGTTTTTACGTTTGCATGTCTTACTATCAGCCATGATTATTCTACTCTCTTAATTAAAAGGCTGTTTATACTGATATAATATCGCACTCTACAATATTTCTATGAATAAATCTCTGACAGAGACTATCAGCCAATCACTGTGTGCATAGTTAATAAGCTTGATGACATCATCCATAGCAACGAGGTTAGCCCCGCCCCCTTACTCAGGGTCTATTCTTCAGTACAAGTTTGTCCCAGCAGCTTTGTGAATAGGTTTGAAGAGAAAACTCTTAGCTAAAAACTTGTACTGCTATTTAGGAGCACTCTTAGTGGCAAGATAAAATGTTTTGTGAATACGGGCCCTGATTTGACTTTATTGAATATGAATATGAACTTAAATGTGCTTTTAACATACTTTCTCTGTAAAAAAAAAAAGGATTTATAATATCTTGCCCACATATTTTTATAGCTGTGGGCAATACATTTTTTATATGTTCATTATATATTATTCTTATATTTTAAATAAATAATAAGTGTATTTTCTATGTATGATGAGTATATTTAAAAGTGTATGAAAGATGGTTTCAGGTGTACTACAAGTGGTAACTAAATACTTTTTTTTTTTTAAATACAGATATGGTATTTTAAAAGCACATTTTAGTTCATATTCATCGTGTCCCAAAATAGCACAGTTGAGTACACTTAGATGATCTTAAGAAGTACTAAAGAACATTTTTGGTATATTAAGTACAAAATTAGTGCGTGAAAATAGAGCTCTTTAAGTACATTATGGAAGTGTGCTAAGTGTACTGAAATAAAGTGTATTTTACTGCAATTTTTTCCCCCACAGGGCAGCTAACAGAGAACATTCTCCGAGCGTTCTGGAAAGGTTCTGAACAAACATTCCTGCAGTAACGTTAATGGAACGTGTGTTCAGAGTTCTCTGGTCTTCAATAATGTTCTCAAAACGTTAGCACAAACACGTTATTTATACATCATTTGTGGAATGTTTTAGTTGGACGTTCATGTAACATTTTTTTTTTAATGTTGCAAGTTGTTTCAAAGAACGAGTCAAAAAGTAACATTCCCATAATGCTTGCCAAATAATAAAACGGAACGTTCCCTTAATGTTTGTATAACATTTTTACAAACAGGAACATTCAGAGAACATTTAGAAATAACGTTTTTAGAACTTAATGGGAGCCATAGCAAGTTCATAGAACATCTCTCTGTTCTAAAGATCTGATCCACTATCAGTACAACAATCAGTGAAGCTTCTCTTCCATCAATCTGAGATTTTGTCCTAACAAGTCATAGTCTAACTCTGATAACTGACAGGAAACTCAAGAGTTCTATTTCTGTCATAGCCCCGCCCACAGTCTGATCTGATTGGCTCCAACACACTGAATGCATTTCTATGTGCTGTGATTTGCACTCAAACACACACACACGCACGCACGCACACACACACACACACACACACACACACACACACACACACACACTCAGATGAACATGCGTGTGTGAATCTGTTATTACTCTAACTGGACTGGACAGGGGATCTCAGGTGGCTCTGGGACAGGAAGCGGTTCTCAGAGAGCAGGAAGTGCACCGCTGGAGAGTGTGTGTGTTTGTGTGTGTGTCTGCGGGATGATCCCCCCACTGACGGGAAGCGAGTGGAACGTTCCATCAGGCGTCGCTCAGCTCGCACTCAGAGGTCAGAAACAGGTCAGCACCATTTTGGCTGCAGTAGGTGTGTTCAGGACGCAGCTGTAAGGAGACACCGACACGCCAAACACACACACACACAGGTTTGTTTTTATGGTTTATGAGGACTCTCCATAGGCGTAATGGTTTTTATACTGTACAGACCGTATATTCTATTGTCCTACACCAACCCTACCCCTAAACCTACCCCTCACAGGAAACTTTCTGCATTTTTAGATTTTCAAACACACACACACACACACATTGCTGCTTCTCAACATCTACAGATCGCCTCAAACACAACAATAAAACCATTCAGGACCAAATCAAGGACAGCTGCATCGTCTATATCAAATGCATTACAACGAAACACAACTTTTGTTTATCTTAATTTAAGAGTTTCTCTCTGTGCACTGGAAAAATATGTTTATTTAAATGAATTTAACACAGCTGCTGAATATTTTATCACAATTTCATTGTGTTCAGTAAATATGTAACACTGAAGTTTAGTGAAGTGTTGGATTAAACAAATCATTTTTTGTTGCATTAACTGCAAATGCATGGGTGGACTTTTAGTTCCCAGAATGCTGATTTGGAGAGTAACTGCTGAACTGAAGTGTTATGCATTCGTGAGTGGAGCTGTTAGTGTTTGATGTTGGGTTATGCTGGATGCTGCTGTTGATGTGTTTGTGGTTGAGAGGATGAACATGAGTTGGAGAACTGTAACTGTGCTCATGTTAGTGCAGTGACAAACTGGAAATGTATGTCTAAAATAAAAAAAAATGAATGCTGTTAAAAACAACTGCTTTAAAAAATGTGTAAAATCTGATAATATGTTCTTATTCACTTTAATTTAGACAAAGAGATATTCACCCGAGAATGAAAATGATGCCATCATCTAGAAAAGAATGTTGGTAATCAAACAGTTGCTGGTAGTCACTGACTAACATAGTATTTTTTTCCATATTATGTTTGGTTACTGACATTCTTCAGAATAACTTCTATGTTCAACAGAAGAAAGAAACTCATACAGATCTGGAACGACTTGATGATGACAGAACTTAGAGTTAATTTAAGTGGATTTCACTTAATTGTGTGAAACTTAATGTATTAATCATTTATTATTTAAATTTAATAATTTATTATTTATTATGAAATTTACTTCACAAATATGAGTGCAAAAACTTACAAAATATATATTTTTTAAATTTACATTTATTAATTCAGCAGATGTTTTTTTAATGCTTTTTAGACGCTTTTTTTATGTGGAATAAAACAAGCAATTTACCAAAGAGGCAAAGAAACACGAGAAGTGCTCGTAATACAGGTTCAGACATTGTTTAGAACAGTACACAACAGAACAGCGAGAGATTAAGAGCAAGAGGAAGCATAGAATTATATATATATTTTTGCAGATGTCGCTTGAATATTGTCATGGATTCTGCATTTCAGATGAGTCTCCGTCACTGAGCATCGTTAAACTCTTCAGTGTATTCTGTGATCACACTGTCCTCCAAATGTTGACTTCATCAGCTCGTGGTGTTTGTCTGTTATCTTACACTCCATATGAGCTGAAGACGACATGAGCCTCAACATCTGCTCGCCGTGTGTTCACACACACACACTCACACACACACACACACACACACACTCACACACACACACACACACACACACACTCACACACACTCACACACACTCACACACACTTGTCATCGTGTTCTGATCTGTGCTGTAGGTCAGTCACCTGTGAGCTGAAACTCAATCCACATCATTACCTAGAAAACATCCGAGCAGAACCGGAACAGAGAATAAAGAACATCAGAAACACAGATCTTCACCTCAACTCACATCAAACCCATCTGTCCACGAGAATCACAAGAAACCTGCCACAATTCAAGCCAGAAACAGAAATATGAAAATATATAAGAAATGAAGCCTGAGGATGATGTTTTTCATGTCATTGCCATGATAAGTAGGCACATTTCCACCAAATTCTCATTACTGCAATGCAAAACTTTCATTTAATATGTGCATGATCTTCTTTAAATCATAAAGTCTCTGTACAGTCTAATAGTGTTTGCATTAAATGTATAACAATGCTACATGGTATTTTTTTATTTAACTTTTTTTTTGCATAAATTATGATAATCAGCTTTGAGTATAAAGAGAATTTAGAAGAATCAAAACTTCCTAACTAAAACATCCTGGCGTCCAATCAAAGGAAACTGCCACGTAACATTAACCTGTCAATTATGTCACAATCCAAATCATGCTAAAAACAGCTTCACTTTCTTTATACAAAACATGATTTCTGAATTATGAGTCAGACACGTTCTTGTCACATTCAGGCATCTGATATGATGTGTACACACTGATCTGGAGTCAAACCGCATCAGAATCCGGATTGTATCTTCAGAGGCCTGCAGGGTTTATCTCACACATTTACACGCCTGACGAGATGCAAAAGCCAGCTGAACCTTTATATATGGCTTTGATAACATAATCTGCAACACCAAACAGCTCGTTCTGGTGACAAAACCACATCAGATCTGAGCAGAAGCGAATCAACATCACTAATACTAACAGCAGCTAAAAATAGCCTTCATACTCAAAATATTATTTATTATTTTGGGGGTTAATTATGAGTCAGACACGTTCTTGTCACATTCAGGCATCTGATATGATGTGTCCACACTGATCTGGAGTCAAACCGCATCAGAATCCGGATTGTATCTTCAGAGGCCTGCAGGGTTGCACCAACACAATGATTCGGTTACATATTTAAATCATATTTACACGCCTGGCGGGACATTTGGCTTTGATATTAACATAATCTGCCATAGCAAACAGCTCGTTCTGCAGACAACCCCACATCAGATCTGAAGCGAATCCGCATCAGTAATATTAACAGCAGCAGCAGCGAGTGTTTAATAATAAGACGCCCGTGATTTCGGCTTGTTTGACCGAGCAGATGCTGCACCCCGTCCACCGATCCGTGTGTGTGTGTGTGTGTGTGTGTGTCTCACCCATCGCCTGACGCTCCTCTAGATGTTCACTGCGGATGGTCACTCAGGGTGGAGGTGAAAGCGGGGCTTTTGCTCGCATCGGAGCGGTCGGATGCGTCGCGGAGCGCGGATGATGCTTCAGTGACGCTCCGCCGGTGATGCGTGCGGATCGCGCTCGCGTCGGGTGTCCGCGTGTAAATCCATCCTGCTGCAGAAGAAAGAGAAAATCGCTCTGGATGTGCGTCGACGCCTCGATCCCCGCTTGATCTCCGTTAACGGGAGCGACGAGTCCGTCCGCGCTGCTTCCTCTCGGTCTGTTTTTCTGCTGAAATGACGCCCTTCCGCCCAGCAGTGATCGGTGCGTCCGTCGGTAACGTTACCGGGGGCGCAGAGACCCGCAGCTCCGCCCTCCGGACCACCGACACACACACACACACACACACACCCCAGCGGATCACTTCAGCATCATGCAGCTCTTCATCCTCCACACCAGCACATTATTCATCATAAATCATCGCTGATTCTTCCGTCGAACACTGCAATCACGTTCATATCAGAAGGCGATGAGATATGATGGTGTTCGTGGTTCGAGTATAAAACAGGAACCGTGTTTTGTTGAACTGAGTAGACTATATTTTAGCACAAGTAACGTTACCAGCAAACTGTTATCTCACATTAAATGAACCTCGCATGAAAGAAACAAAAATGGTTTTAAACATTTAAATATCTGCAATGTAATTTCACAGCTAACGTTCTGGCAGGTTCTCTCAAAGTTATGAACAAACATTCTAGCAGTAACATTAATAGAGCTTTCGGACACATGTAACAACATCGTTTATGGAACGTTTTTCTGTAACATTTTAGTTTGATGTTCGTCTAAGATGGTTTAGAGAGAACACTCGAATGTAACATTCTCATAATGCTCGCAAAATATAACGGAGAAAAACGTATTTTAAACATTTCAAACACTTCGATTTTTTTTTTAGAACTGTTCGAATATTTTCCCATAACTAAATGGGATAGGCTAGTTAGCAAAAAGAACATATTTAGAACATATTAAATACAAAAATATATAATTGTGACACAAGTGACGTCTGTTGAAAGACTATTAAATCATTTCATTCAATTTTCACAATTTTCATGTTAATCGGCGTGTTGGCGACACTCATTAGTATCAGTCACTCAACCCTGCTACCAAACTTATTGTAAGAAAAATGAAAAAACTAACATTTAGCAAAAATGGCAAAACACCAAGAAGTTAAACGGGTCTAAGATAGATAGATAGATATATAGATAGATAGATAGACAGATGGATTTTTATCAAGCTTTTCCATCAGGGTCTCTTGATGATGCATCATTACAGTCTCACGTGTTTTCCAGGAAATGTTAAACAAGACGTCTGAGAGATCCGTAAATTCCCTTCTTATAGCGCCACCTTGTGGTCAATTCGAAGACCAAAACTGGTGCAAGACGTCTTGATTATCAGACATGTCTGGCAGCTGAGATTAAAGGCATCTTTAGATTTTTACCACACATTTTTCCCATGACATAGTTGTAAATGTTCAATACAAGGACAGGTTTCCAAATACTGTACATTAGTGTCTCGTGACGAGGGGCCGCTGAGGGCCGGTCAATTGCATCACATCTTTACTGACATTATATAATCTATCATATAATTTAATTAGAATAATCTGCACAAGATGCTGACTCATCTCAGCTTTTTGAATATTTAAAGCAGAAGTGTGAGACTGTATTTTATTTAAAATTAAATAAAATTATCCATGATCATACCCTTGATTTGATTTTAACCAATGTTTTTTCTATTTCAAACACTGAAATCAGTAGTGCATCTTTTTCTGATCACAGGCCGGTTCTTGTTACTCCTCAGAATCCATCGCTGGCACGTCTGACTCGCTCTCTTAACATTCTAGAGAAGATTTTTCTGTAGCCTACCATGATGTATGCAACTCTCTGGAGTTGAACTCTACTCTGCTTAATCTGGACACCGATGCACATCTTAATCTTTTTAATTCTACCTGTGCAGATATCATGAATTCTATTGCCCCCTTGAATTATAAAAATCGTAGACGGGCTGAACGCAAATGGAAAAAGGAAAGTTTGCAGGTTTCTTATGAAATTTTGAGAAGCTCCTATAACATGTTTCAGAAAGCTGCAAAATGCAAACATTTGTCAGAACTTATCGGAACAAAATTGTCATAAAGTCATAGAATCTCAAGTGATATTTTTTTTACAGAAACTGATTCTGGGGAAATCCATGGCTTTAGTTGTATTAGATCTGAGTGCTGCCTTCGATTCGGTTGACCACGAGGTCCTGTTGACTCGTCTGGAGATATCTGTGGGCCTTCGGGGCACAGATTACAGTGGCTCCGTTCTTATCTGACCAACAGATGTTTTAGTGTTTGTATCGGTCATCAGACCTCCTCTTGTATACCTCTTAATTGTGGAGTTCCACAGGGATCAATCCTGGGCCCGGTTTTGTTTATCCTGTGCATGCTACCTCTGGCTTCCATTTTTAACGAATATAGAGTATTCTTTAGTATATATGCTGATGATACTCAGATCTATTTTCCTTTATAGCATAATGATAAAAATGGCTTACAACCACTGTTGGCCTGCTTAGAAGAACTTAAGCTTTGTCTCTCGAGTAATTTTCAAAATTTAAATGAAAACCGAAATAATTCTATTTGGGCATAAGGAAAATTGTGTGTTAGATAAGTTAGAAACTCAATGCGCAAGAAATCTGGGCATTCTGTTTAATCATATCTTAACATTTGACAGACAGACAGTACTGTTGTAAAATCATGCTTTTTCATCTCCGTCAACTTTCTAAAGTGAAACCCTTCTTATCACAGAGTCATTTCCAAGTTAATTTCTAGTTTCCAAACGGTGATTCACGCTTTTGTAACAACTCGTTTAGATTATTGTAATTCACTTTATTACGGAGTTTCTCAGTCTTCCCTCTCCCGACTACAGCTAGTGCAAAACACAGCTACTAGATTACTCTCATGAACCTGCAAGCATGAGCCGGTAAATCCAATTTTATCTGGTTACCCATCAAAAATAGAATTGATTTTAAAATTATATTATTTGTTTATAAAGCCCTCAATACTGACAAACCTGCTCCGTCCGTACACCGCTTCTAGATCATTGGGATCCAGTGATCTCTGTCTGCTCATCGTGCCTAGATCCAGACTTAAAAAACAAGGTGGCTGCGCTTTTGCAGCTGCAGGTCCGAAACTCTGGAACAGTCTACCTCTTCACATTAGATTAGCTCCCAAGAGAAACCAAACCAGAATGTGGTGCTGAAACAAGAGCTGTTTATTAAAGGAAACACTAAAAACTCAAAGAACACAGAAAACGCAGACAGGCAGACATATATATGCAGCTCTGCAGGTCTGACCTCACTTTGGTTTTACAGAGACGTCAAACTCCACAGAAGCAGGAAGAAAGAAGCTCAGAGAAACGTGAGTGTGAAGTGTTATAAACATGATGCTGTGAGTTTCCCTTTGATACAGTCAGTGGAGCTCCTCTATCCATGATTACAAGCCAAAGATACAGTTTAAGGAGATTGTTGTCGGCTCACAGATGGAATAATATTGTGTTTCACCTGATCCTCACTGCGGCCCCAGATCTCCAGACAGACCCTGGCCCTCGCCGTGATCGGAGCTCCAGAGCCGGTAGAACTGTGTGAAGTCGACATATGGAGGCACTCTTCCGGTCTCGTCCGGTTGCGCCGCCTGACTGCCTCTCTGCCGGAACAGGCTTCCGTCTCCGGAGCTGGAGCTGGAGCTCTGCGTGTGTGTGTTGGTCGACTGCAGCGTCGCCGTGGGACTCTGACTGAGGGGAGGAGCACAGACACACAGAGGGGTGGAGTCAGAGGGAGGGGCAGGGCCAGAGGGAGGAGCACAGACACCCACCGTGGACCGTGGAGAGAGATTTATGCGTTATTGATAGAGTTACGAATGCATTCAGCTGAAGGAAACAACATTAGCTGGGTGCAGGATTATTACAGCTAACTAAAACTAAACCATAAAAAACTTTACATTATTTCATACTTGAAATAGAATTTTTTTTAAC